ATCATTTTTGTTCTCACTGTGGATGTTTAATGTCTCAGGTTCTGGGTACGGACCATCCAGATGTGGCCAAGCAGCTGAACAACCTGGCCCTGCTGTGTCAGAACCAGGGCAAGTACCAGGAAGTGGAGCAGTACTACGAACGCGCCCTGCACATCTACCAGAGCAAACTGGGCCCAGACGACGCCAACGTAGCCAAGACCAAGAACAACCTGGTAGGAAAGGCAGATTTTAGTGTTTAGCGCATTTAAAGATGACGACAAATTAAAACCCGTCTAATTACTGAACACGTTCTTTCTCCGTCTCAGGCATCCTGTTACCTGAAGCAGGGGAAATACAGACAAGCCGAGTCTCTCTACAAAGAAATCCTGACCAGAGCACACGAAAAGGAGTTTGGATCTGTGGAAGGTAAAGTCAGATTTGTCATTTTTGCTTTTCGATTACATGCATCTCATCCAAAAGTCGTCATTCGCTTCAGTAACATTTTGTTTAGAACGTTTGAAGCAACCACAAGGAATCACTTCTAAAAAACCACCACAGAGGGAAGTGAAAACCCAGGGGAATGCTGGACAACTGCTTTTATTAAACTGCCTCCAGTGAGACGGTTTCACTTTTGCAGCTTCTGTGGACGCAAGTAGCTTTAGAATAACAGTGTACTGTGTGACAGTAACACAAGAAAAGAGGCGTCATGGTGGTAAAATGCTGCATTTCTTGGTTAAAGTTTCCCATCATCAGCTACAATAATTAATTTACAGGTTGGAGGGAAAGTCAGAGGCTTCAAATATCAACTTTTTCATTAGTGACGGGTGGAAAGTAAGTTTTGAAAGTTTGATACAGAAGAAAACTCGAGTCTAAAAGTGAAATCAAGTCCTAACCCTGATCCTGTGTGAACTCTTGTGCAGCACTCGGAGGTTTGACTTCGTCGTTAAGATATAAAATCTATCATGAAGGAGATGAGAACAGAGAGCGGCTGCAGTCGTTTTCCTGTGTGTTCATACGACCTCTGTCTGTCCAGGCGACGGTCGTCCCAGCTGGTCCGGCGCTGACGACGGAGGATCCAGCAACCTGAAGCGCAGCGGCTCCTTCACCAAGCTCCGGGAGTCGATACGGCGAAGCAGCGAGAAGCTGGTCCGCAAGCTGAAAGGCGTCGGAGTCGAGGAGATGACCCCGAGGAACGCTGGGTAATAATCTGTGGTTTAACGCCCACTGTTGGTGTAGCTGTAGTATAGAATGGTTAAAACATGCTGATATGAGCAGCAAAAAAAAAGTTTAGATCAAGAACTCTGGACTGAAAGCTGCATGTAAAGAGAATGAAAGACCATTTACAGGTTTGTGAGGCTGATCGGTGCAAATTCAAGGCTGACTTCTCTAAAAATGTTTGCTTAGTTGCATTTCTCCAGTGATATCTTTACACAGATTAAGAGTTCCTTTTGTTTTTCTGTCCGCTCGTCAGGATGAAGAGGGCGAACTCTCTGAACGTTTTAAATGTGGGAGCCAGAGAGAGTCAGGACGGCACGCAGGTGAGCAAACTGCCGCTGATCCAATCCAGAAAAGTCTCACGTTTATCTAACAGGCTTCAGTTTCTTGAAGATGTTTTAATTCCACATCTTGAAAGGCTTCTTCAGCTCTGAGGCGTGTCGTGCATTTAAGCTCTTGTGAGGCTGTGAGCACCTTGACGGGATGGATGTTGACGACTTCGTTCACTTCCTTTAGCATCTCGTCGATCCTTAGTTTCAGTGCGTAGATGCTGAAATCTGTCATCGAGCAGCTGCTTCTGAGCTTCTGTGATCTGCAAGTTTTCTGCACAAATCAAAAGGTTTTCACTCTGATTACGTTTGAAGTTTGAGGCAACTGGACTTGCATGAGTCGGTAAACGTGGTTACCTGAATCTTAAAACACACAGCTGTGCAGAATCCACCACAAGAAGAAGACAAGAAGCCATTTGGATGAAAACACTTTGAAGAAACTGAAGCCTGTTGCTTTTGTTTTACACATAAGAAGACCGGAATGAATGAGAACGTTAGAGATGTTATCAATTAATCAAAACATTTCAGGAAAAAAGAAATCCCGCTATCTGACTGTATAAGACATTACACACACAACTTCAGCTCTACATCCGGTCCACAGACTCACGCCAACACCCGTCACGTGTTTCTGTTTCTCAGGGAAGCCCGTTGACGGATAACCGAGGCCTGAGCTCCAGCACGCAGAGCCTGACGAGGCGAGGCTCTCTGGGTGGGAACAGCTAACACACCCCCGATGCAACAGATCGCACAAACAACCGGAGAGACGTTCGCACGCCGACTAAACCTGCTGCTCTGTATCCAGCACGTCAGATGTCAGAGCGGATCCGAGCCCCCTGAAGAAAAGCCGAGGCTGTTGTTTGACCAAAATCTAAATTCCACTTTCTAGTTTTTCTGTGGCTCGCACATAAAGCCCTTCTCGACGTATCTCCGTTGCACTACAACATTTCCTTCCTGATCACTTGAAATCCGTCACTCCTGGTTTGAAGGTCCACAAATCATGTTAGACGCTAAACATTCCTCCGTGAGCCAGACGACGTCATTTACAAGTTAACAGAAGTAGTTTGTAAAACAGCTAATGTTTAATGTTGGTGCCCTTTTAACAACCGTTTCTATTAATGTTACTGAAAAGAAGAAAACTGGAGTTATTTGTGTTACATTTTCTAAAATCGTAAATCAGGCGCGCTGATGTTTGTAAAAAGTCTCCTCTGAGAAACGGGGACGTCGGGTTTTTTTTGCACAACGATCAAAACGTGACGACGCGTCTGTGAAGCTGTAATTTTTTTTTACATTTGGTTCGAAGAGGGAGAAGTTGAGCTGCGTTTACACTGTTAAAGAAATGTGATCGACGAGTTCTGCCTTCAGAGTGTCCACGTCGTTTTAATCAAATCGTCGAGAGCTAACGATAAGACATGCCCGCTTATTTATTTTTTAAAAAAAGGACCTATTTTTTAAAAACTTGAGGACTCCTACTCGTGATTTGCACCATTTGAATTCAAACGCCAGCTCAACAAACTTACAGACGGTACTTTCAGAAGACGGTGGATGTTTTTTGCACATTACATGGATGCTATGTAAATATATTCTCAATCAGACCAACTCCTGACGATTGTAGATCATGAAACTCTAACGTACACATTTCAACGTTTAGCGATGACGCGTTTGCTCCGTGCTGACAATCAAACGTTTCTCATCTTTGCTTTTTCACTGAAATGCCTGAAACCCACGACTTATCACGGATAGAGCTTAACGTGTAGGTTTCTTCGCTAGAGAAATAATTACCTCAAGTAGCTGCTGCAGAGTCAAACTGCATTACAAGTTACGTTTTAGTATTAAAAAACTTCATAAACACTCCCCTGACACTCAGGAACATCTGAAGTAAGGACGCAAAAAGATAAAATTCGGCTCCCTGTTACCGTCAGATCCTCGCCGACTTCATTCCACTAAACTTCTCTCGTTCTACAAATCCTGTTTCTGGAGAACCACTGATTGTCTGTTTGCTGTGGTAGAAGACGTCACTGCTGTTTGTCTGAAGGGCTGAAGCCGCACCGTGTTAGTTTCTGTAGGAGCTACAGTCTGTTACGAGCACATGTAAGAACGCCGCACAGGAAAAAAAAAAAAAAAGTAGGAAAAGTGTGTAGAAACGGGAGCGTGAAGCTCCTCTGGCGCCGTTTGTTCTGTTAAAGATGAATGTTTGTATTTTATATTTGCAAACTTGAGCTGAAATAAATTACAATGAGACACTGATGAGCTCGTTTACTTCTTGTGCTTTTGCCTGTTTGCGTGAAAATACAGTCGTGACTCGATGATACGACACTAAATGTAAAACCCTCTGCTATGTCGGATAGCAAGACTGTCGGATTGTCAAGACGGAGTCAGAATCCAAGGCTGTCGCTATGTTAAGACTGTTTTTATGGGTTCTGTTCGTTTTTCCTAAAAACCCGTCGGATAGCAGGTTTAGGATTGTTAAGGGTCAGATTATCGAGTCACGACTGTATTAAGATATGTGTCCTAAACTCGTTTTTGTCACGATGGAAAAGACTCTAAAGGAAAAAAAACACACGAGTCAAACACAAGTTAAATACAAAGATTTATGGTCCAACTTCCTGGTTGGAGAACAAACAGGTAAACAAACGTTCAGTATAAAATGTACAATAGTCTTGTCTGTATGACAGACGCTATATGGACCGATGTTACAGCCACAGATGGGAAAAACAAAACGTTCCTGCAGCCGATGCAACACGATGCTGACGCGGTTTGTAACTTTATCAAAAAGACGATTTTAAAACAGCGCAACTTGAAAATAAATGTCATGTTCTACTAAACTCCCAATTCAAGCAATAGCTTTTTTGTAATTGTGGAAACTGTTCATTAGTGTTTGTTTTCTTTTCAACAGTACACGACACTGAAACACATTTAAATGTGACGGGAACCTACATGACAAGCGGACCAACAGGTTTCTGCTCCGTTCTGAAAACTGTGACCTAAAATACTCGGCGGTGTTTAAACTAACAGACAAACAGCTCTCGTGTCTTTAAGTCACCACCAGAGCTGAGCACGTTAAATACTTCAGCGGTATGTTTAACACACACAGAGCATGTTTGTGGTGAATCCTGTCCGTCTGGAACGCCAGCGCTGCTTAAAATAAGTCGTATCCGACCCGTTACTGATGGTCGTTAACGGCCGATGACCCCCGGTTTGTGGGTGTTGCTATGCGGAGTTTGTCACCTTCAGGTCTGATGAGCGATCTGAGAGATTTTCTGCAGCATTTCCTCCGACTCGAGCTGCTCCAGCGTCAACAGGGACAGACCCAGCTGGTCCTCCTGGAGGGAGAGGATGGAGGAGGAGGTGAACACAGAGGTCAGGATGGTTTACTGTAACTTCTGATCAGAGAGAGATTCCTTCAGTCTGGGTAAAATGTTGAACTCATTCTGTATGAAGCAGAACGTCACAGAGGCCTGTTTTACTGGGAATGTCCATCATGTGAGTTGCTCGGCTGTGTGTTCGTGCTCACGCTTCTGTGTTTTGTGTAAATAGAAGATCAGGAGAAAGAAGATTTGATGAATTACAAGTCGAGTAGAATGACGACACTTGATTTGTCTGAACGGATTTCTTCTTCTTGACGTCTCCAATCTGAGGAAAGCGGTGCGACTTCACTGCAGCCAGGTGGTTTTATTTTTCATAAAAGCACGAGACTTTGTGCACAGCTGAAGATCTCAGAACCTCAACTTCACTTACATATTTGCTGTGCAGCTCTGTGTACCTCAGTGGCCACAGGGGATTTAAAACTCAGGATTTTTAACCCAACTCTATTTATTATTCTAATCTCAAGCAGAAGTTAACTTTCTGATTCACCTGCAAAATTAAAAATGTGAGGATTTCTACCCTCATTTTTTTCCCCTGTGGAAATAAACGCAACATGCTCTGTTGTTTTTTTATATTTACTGCACATCTCAACAGCCTGTAATTATTCCTGACAAAACGAGAGATAATAACAGCACATGGACGTGCTTGTCATACCTTTGCACTCTGCACAACCTTAAAATATTTATTTTGTGCTCATGAGAAAATGTTTATGATCACAACCAAGACATAAATTAGGAATTTAAAGAGAAACTTCTAATTTTAAAATCAGAAAACACATCTTTACCTGCATTCAATTCAGGTTTTCCCACAAAAGAGACAAGACTTCTTTTCACTGATTCTATTTTTGTTGCACCTGCTGAGCGATTTGACTGAACTGCATTTACACTAACATTCGCTCATTTGACAGCCTGAGCAGCAGCGAAATAGAAGCAAAGATCTTTACGCTCACGGCGGCCGTACCTGTCTGAAAGGCTGAGCCATCTGCCGCAGGAAGTGCTTGGAGAGCTGCACGGTCTCGTCCACGGTGAGGTTCAAACTACCATCGCTGATGTGCTCCTGAATCCAGCGAGGAAGCTTCCCTCGTTTGTCTGCTCGGGCGTAACGCTGCGGAGCAGAGAGCGAGTCGTTACAGATTCATCTACAGCTTGAAATAAACCACGAGCTGCTCCGGTGCAGCTACGTCAGTGCTTAAAAGGTCGCGGATGTGAAGCAGGATGCCGGTAAGAGGTGACGTTTAGAATCTTGTTGTGCTACGACAGGACCAGACAAACATCACACACCTTGTCGGCAAAGATCATGAGTCCGTAGTCGGTCTTGCCCCTGATGGCTCGGCCCACGCACTGAGCTGCGTGACGCATGGCATCAAAGGTCAGGAAGTCGTTCTCTCGGATCTGAAACTGATCCCGAAGGTACTCCAGCCGAGCCTGAACCAGATGTGTGAGTGAGAGGGGAAGAAAACAAAACAGTCTTCAGCTACGGGCAGAATTAGGATCATAAGAACATCCGATCAGACTGAAGAGAAAAAGATGTGACTTATAAAAACACTTTTAACAATGTGAGAAGTTTATGTGGAGTTCAGGAAAAGACAAACATTAACCCTGTGAAGCCTGAACCATGAAATAACTGCCAGAAAATTCTAATTTTTTGAAACTGGAGTATTTATTAAACCTTCTGACAACAATAAAAAAAATAGTAATTTGCATTTATGAGTTTTAGTTTGTATAATTTTTGCTAAACCTGGCATTTCTGGTGCATGAGTGACGATCTACGGTGGATTATCAGCACGCTGCATGAGTGTGTACATCAGGTTTTTTTTAATTAAAAAAAATATCCCACCGATGACGTAGAGGTCTCTGAAACTTGTGTATTAAATATGATAGACTTTACTGGTTTAAAACATCAGTTTCCAGTTTATTAGGCAGACGTTTCTAAAACATGTGCAGCTTAATATTAAAACAACTCTGCAGTCAATCCTACCGTCATGTTTTTTTTGTTGAAACTGTTTAGAGGTGCTTTGTAATCACTTTGAGATGTACTGATGCTGTTTAATTCTACACAAACTGGCGTTTCTAATACTTTAACATCACATTTATATCAGTGAGGTTAGAATAAATATTCAAAACACATTTTACTGCAACATAATTGGTTCAACAAATAGTAATTTTTGCTTTTATAAACTGTGACAGACTCTGGAAACAGCAGAGAGTAAATGCTAGTACATAGTGATGACTCTGACCTTCAGGATGCGGCTCTGCGTATAAACATACGGGACTCCAAACATGATGACTGCTCGGCCGAAATGGTGCACTGAAGGGAAACAGAGCGAGACATTCAGTCAGTACGTTGATGAACGACTGAAGCCGGTGAAACGTTTGCTGCATCTGACCACAAACCAGAGAGTCTCGTCTCTGTAACTCACCGAAATCTATCCCCTCCGACACCTTTCCTCTGGCAACGGACAGGAGAATCGCTCCTCTGCCGTTCTCACACGCCTGAAGACGAACAGAGAAAAGGTCAGAAGACATGAGCACCAGGAGGCCTTTGCTCATTTACAGCACATCTGGCTGTGACTGTTTCTGTGAGTTAACGTGAGCGGCCCTGACCTCCTGGTATTTCTCCAGCGCCATGCTCGTCTCCGCTGCATCCGGAGTCTCGATGAAGATCAGCTTGTTCCTCTGGATGTTCTCCAAGATGCCCTGCAATGCAAACACGTGCACAGACGTATGTATAAAATCTGTACAAACTGTTTCAACAGTGCAAAGAGGTCACACATCATCTGCTCTTCATCTCATGCACACACTGACCTGCTCGTACCAAGACGCCACTATGTTCTCCATGTAGACGTAGCTGGTGAAGAACGCCACGATCCCATCGGGAACTATGGCGGACATCTCCAGGAGGAGGTTTCCATAGTTACGGATCACAGCTGCAAGAAGAAGAATTGAAAAAAAGGATGTTTTTGTCACATATTGTTTGTCGGATTGGAAAAAAATATATTTATGTACACGGGGCAAGGTGATATTTTGATTTTATGTCAGTTATATGTTTCTCTTTTCTTTCGGGACTTCATGCTCAGATAATTAATTACAGAGATTTTAACGAACCAAAGTCTTCTCTGGTCTCAAACTTGGAGCTGAGGGCCACCTGGTCGTTTCCCCGGCCCACAATCTATGGAAGATAAAAACAGATGAAGACGAACGTCAGATTCCTGCTCCTTAAAACCTCACAGCGTATTTTTTTCATACGAGTGTGTCTGAGTGACGTCACACACCAGAGGACAGAGGCAGGTCCGGGCCAGCGTCATGGTGAAGGACGCCATGGTAACGGGGCGGAAGTCGAGGATTCTGGGATAGATGTCCAGCGGGGAGAGAGTCTGAGGGGGAAACAAAGAGGAAGACAAGACAGCGAACATGAGATCAGTCATTCATTTATTAGTAAATGTCAAAAAAAATAAATAAAACAGAAAATCAAATTACTTCATCACAATAGTGACATTTTTGTCCAGAATGAAAGAAAGAATAAACACTCAGGCCGCTAAATCGCTACCAGCTGTGATTGTTGATTATTCTAAACAAAGAATAAAAAGGCAGTAAACAAACATGACATGAATGAAGCTGCAGGATTATAGTTCAAGATGATATGATAAAGAGGTTTAGTGTGCGATCATCTCATTACAGGAGGTCTGAAGGAAAAGAAACGCAGCAGATATTTTAACTAAGTTCTTCCTCAACTGAAACAACACTGAAAACACAGCTTCTGATTTAGGCGCTGCAGACGGGCTTTTTTTGTAGACTGAAGGCAAAAACTAAACTCAATCGTACCATTTGTTGCAGGACTAACACGAGTGTAACGTGAGCCGAGAGAAAAGAAAAGGAGCGACA